TGCTCCAAATTGTGTCTCAGCGAGGGCCGTGACCGAGGCTGTGGATAAGACCAGGGGTAGAGCTCAAGTCTGCACTTAGACCCAGCCTAGACCCCGTGACACCACATTCTCCTGCCCCAGCGATATTTTTGGGGGGTACCCTGTGGGATTTGGTCAATATGGCAACACTTGAGAGTTTCGGCTGCTTTGGGGCAACTCCTGTGCCTTTGGTCGAGCTTTTCTCCCCCTCCTCCTCTCCCCTCACCCCCTTTGCCTTTCCAGCCCAAAAATGCTGGACACCATCAGCAGCCAGTACGACTCCTTCATCTACTGGAGGATGCCGATCCCGCGGCTGGACGTGGCGGAGCTGGAGGGGCTGGGGCTCAGCGACGTGGCCCTCTACAAACCCAAAGGAGGGCTGGGCAAGCTCGTCGGTGAGCGTGACCAGGTCAGCCAGGACATCTCCAAAGAAGAGGACAGTCTGCTGCAGTTCAACACCTTTAATTTCTGGAGAGCTCCTATTGCCAGAATTAGCTCTTTAGATTTTGATCTAATTTGAAGCTCTCCTTTCTGCCCCTCCTCACCCCCCCTGCCCTCTCCCACTCCGCTAGGCATGCCAGGATTTGGTTTTGTTGTCGGTTTGGAGGTTGTTTTTCGTGTTTCTGGGCAGTTTTTGACATTGCTAATTAACTCAGCAGTTCACCCCGGCCCTGACTGGCGATGGGCTCCCCGCAAAGCTTCAACCTCTCTCCACCTTCCCCCTCTTTTCCTCTCTTCTTGCAGTAGCGCTGGAAACACCACGACAGTGCAAGCGGGGGGGTAACAGCAGAGGGGGCAAATACAAGGGGAGGGGGCGAAAAGAACCACCCCATTGCCCCACGTCCGCATGCCAGAGGGTGCGGGAGGTGCTGGGGGGTTTCTGCCGCCACCCCACACCCTGCGGCTGTGTGACCGTGGGCATCCCCGTGCCCTGGGACGAGGGTTCGAGCTCATTTCTCTTGTGCTTTTTTAAGAAACTCATTTGTGCAAAGGGAGCGGCGCAGGACTGATGGGAATCGTCTTCGTTTCACAGAAAGCATCATCCCCGCTCCTCTCCCAGGGACGCAGAGACCCTCTGCGCTTCCCTGGCCCAGTTTCTCCAAAAGCTGCTTCGCTCGTTAAAAACCTTCCCTTTGGGGCTGCGAAGTGGAAGAGGCAGGGGTGTGCTCGGGACACGGGCACAAACCTTTCTTGAAAGAAATGATCTCTTTAAGCCTTGTGGCTTTGAGCCCGAGCAGGAGAAATGATGGCCAGGAGGGTAAATGCACATGGAAATGTTCTGACCTTGCTTGGTGGGGTCCAGGCTGGATGTTCAGGGCCTCAATTTTTTTTCTTTTTTTCTCCCCCATGTGCTTTATCCCAGGCATGACTCCTGACTGGGTGTATCATGGGGTCCGGATGGGTAACGAGGCTGAGCTGAAAGATAAGATAGGGAATTTAGTTTGATCTTACCCCCAAATGAAAACGTCTCTAGTTCCCCACACAATTAATCAACTCCTCTAAAAATAACAACAAAAAAATGCTGCATTCACTCAAGTGGAAGCCTTTTGTTTTTCTCGGGGAGGTTTTCACCTGTGCTCTCTGCAGGCTGAGGTTTATTTCTGAGCATCATCTCAAAATGGGGAAAAAAAAGCCAACTCTGATAATTTCTGGCTTCTATACATTTTTCTTTTTCTTTTTTTTTTTTTTCCCCCCAA